GAGAGAGAGAGAGAGAGAGAGAGAGAGAGAGAGAGAGAGAGAGAGAGAGAGATCAAATAGAGACATCGATATCCCCCAAGGGTAATCATGCCAAGTTCGCGCGCTTTGTGTTGCTTGCCGTCAGTGAAGAAGCAAAAACATGATTTCCATTTTTTTTCTTCGTTCAATGTATAATAACACAATCATTAGATTCCGTTCTTGTGATATCCAGAATAATCAAGGTCTCAGTAATTCCCCAGTTATTCAGTCACGTGACGGATTTAGACCACTCGCGTGCGAGCGAAAATATTTGCTAGTGTTAGCACCCAGTTCTCCACAATCTGAAAAGCGGAGAGGAGCTTGGTACAGACTACATTCAACATGGCGGCCACGAGTGGAGAAGTCGTTTTCAGAGCTGGCCAGGTAAGAAATAACAGCTTTTATAACAGATTTTAACCTCTTACAGATAATATAACATCTTTTGCTTAGCTATAGTTTGTTTTATCTTATTTTATTTGCGACTGTGTGGGGTAAACTCCTGTTGTAAACCTTGGAATAAAAATAGTTCTTTAAGCTAAACCATCTGTGTTATGAAAACATACTTTAAGCTTATAGTTCTTCGTTTGAATGAGAACAATGTACTCACGCAACGTACTTAATCCTCTTCGTGCCATGGTTCAATTCCTATTCATTTTGAAAAATGTGTTTGTATGTAACACGTCTAACATCTGGGCTGCCAAGGAAAAGATTCCTAGGTTTAGGAGAAAACTTGCCAAGCCAAATGAATAAGCTTACTCCTTCTCCTATGGACATCAGCTCTTGTCTTGAGTCGAGCGATCAACTTTTATGGATTTCTGATGAAGAATGCAATGCGTAGTGGCAAAGAAAATGGTATTAGAACTGTAAAACAGGTCTTTCTGATTAAATGAAGTGTTGGGTTATGCTACATGTATGTTCCACAGGGAGCTGGGGCAGATGGTATCTGGTCACTTCGTTCCATGGTAACTTCGTTCCAAGTCACTTTGTTCCATCAAAGAGTCACTTTGTTCCAAAGAATAATCACTTCGTTCCAAAGAATAGTCACTTCGTTCCAAGGGGATTCGATACAGTTCTAAAGTCGATTTGATACAAACTTCTAGTTTACTTGCAAAAGTAAACTAGAAGAAATATCCCAGTGAAAGTGTTATAATCTTCGTATCAGACCAAAAAGATCCCCAGGATTTGAAATTTCAAATTACAGCAGACCATATCCCATCAGNATAGAACGCTAGTAGATTTATACTAAAATGTGATAGAAACATGAAGAAAATATCCATTTTAGAAAACAACCCAAAGAAAATAACTAACAATGTGACTATGACTGTCACAACTTTTCTGCACTCATATTGAGTTATAAAAATATGACTTTTAACCAATCAGTGCACAAATTTTCTTTGGGCTATTTTCTAAGCTTTCTTTTTACATGTACAAGCACCTTAAGCAGAAAGGTATTCTAAGGTGTATTTTCTGTCAAACAAGTACTGTTAGTAGTGTTTTTTTAATCATTGGTATTGTTAGTGTGGTTGTCTGGGTGAGGGTAGTTCTGAAAAGATCTGTTTTTGTAATGGTGCCTCAACAAGTCATTTTCAGAGTTGTTGTCAGAGTCAGCAACCTGATGGCTCAAGTTGTCAGAACATCAGTCACCAAAAACAGTTCTTTTCAGAGTTACCCTCAAACAGAGGATCACATTATAAGAACCACTGAATACTCCTGGGCTCAAACCATTTTCTATAATTATTATTCATCAGTATCATTCTTATTTTTTCACTATATAGTGGAACCAGGTTACTTTTAATTCATGTAACTGCATAAGAGGATTTTATGAATTAATCAATACTGACCAAGAAACTGACTGAAGAAATTGTGTGGCTGCATCAAAGAAGAGTTTTATTTTGAGCTCATAGTGTTAAAACATTACAGTTGCTTGGTGGGATTCTATTGACAGTGTTAAATTGTTAATGACTTTTAAAAAGTTATGATCACAGACATTAATGGTATAAAAAAAGTGTTCACCAACATTTCATTACAGTTTTTGCTCAGACTTCCAATTATTTAAACCTTTCTGTTTGGTAATAACAATAATATTGTTCTCTAACTTGTCTTTTTACTTTGTTTATAAACTAGAATGGAGGGAAAAATAGCAACACAAAGAGCAAGACTGGTGGCAAAAACAGGTATGAATACATTAAGTTTTAACAGCATTTTGTGGGCATTCTATGTATCACTGTTGTTGGACTGTAGATGTCCTGGGAGGGAATCACGTGTGAGAAGGTCGTGGATGCTTGTTGAAAAATTTAAATTAAACCTCTAAAGGAGACCAATTTGGGTGTGGCTTGAATGAGCTTTATTTGAACCCTAAAAGATACCACTTTAAAAATGGACATGACAGATACCTAAATGGTTACAAATAGTGACCTCTCATCTCATTACACCTCTAAGCACGCCAAGCTCTCCTCCATTTGGGTCTTCCCCTGGGTCTAGATGAATTTTTCCTTCCCTCCAATCAAACATAACAGACCAGTCACATGATCCTGTCAATCACATAGTCATGTGACTGTGTCAATTCATTCTAAATAATTTCTTAAACCAAAACTGAACATGTCAAAGTGAGCAGGTTAAGATATTTTTTCTACAGTTAATGTCAAGGTTTGGCTTTGGGTGAATCCTAAATGGACATGCCGTGATTTTGTCATAAGAATTTGTTGCCTTCTTTGTCAGGAAACAAGCATCAACAAAGAAGAAAGATAAAAAGAAAGCAACAGAACAGGCACAAAAGGCAAGGTTATTGAACTGATGAGTAGAAAGCTTCTTTCCTACATTTCTACAATATTTGTGAAAGTTTGGGAAAACATGAAATCTTGTCTCTGCTTATTCAACATTTAACAATGAAGAAAGGCAAAGAAAGTCTGCCCTTGAGCCTAGTGGCCTTATCTCTAGTTACCGTAATGTACAGATAAGGAGTGCTTCTAACATGCACCTCCCTGGATGGGATGCTAGTCTATTGCAGGGGTACTCTTAGCAGTTAATTCACTTGTACCGATATCAGACTTGAGAGAGACACTGTGAGAGTAAAGTATCTTGCCTAAGAACACTGCAATAGAAATAAGAATCCTTTGGTTGAGCTGGAACCCAGGCTGTTAATTCCAGGTGCAAATTCACTAACCATTAGGCCATTGTGCCTATTATGTGCTTGAACATAAGACTAGAAAATAAAGGGAAAAAAATAGAGCCCAGAATGGTTTGAACAACTGAAAAATATTCACACCAAAAGACACAAAATCAATGAAGTTAACAAGGTTTTTATTGATCTTTCAGTGGCATGTTGGTGATAATTGCAGAGCTGTGTACTCCGAAGATGAGCTAATTTATGATGCTGTCATTATTTCACTGGATGCGAGTTCTAATACTTGTGTAGTGAGGTTCTGTGGCTATGGTAATAAGGAGGAACAAAACTTAGATGATCTTTTAACTCCTTTATCTAAAAAAGATGGCAAGTCTCCCAGGCACAATGGAAACCAGTCAGGTTGGGCAGCATCTCCAGAACAACAGGTGATTTTAAGCAATAAATTACAACAACAAGAGCTACAAGGTTTAGTGCTTTGTCAATTGAATGTAATGTTTCCATTAGCCAAAAATTCTGCAAGTTTCAACTCGGTGACAAATGGTACAGGAAATTCCTGGGAGAGTGTCCAAAAAATCTGGAAATTATTGAATTCCTGAAAAGTCAACCACTCAAATTCTGGGAGGAAATTAAATCAAATGGCATGGAAATTCACTTAGTAATAAATTTTCGAAAATTTATAATACCTCTTGTGGTTGTCCTTACTGGGAATTCAGGAAAATGCAGTTCCATTTGTCAGTGGAAACTTCGGAAATTCAAACCAGATTTTTTTATCGAATAGAAACCATCTTATGTTGTTGTGAGGTCTTCCACTAATGGAACAGACCTTCTAAAGCTCTCAAGTTAACAACCAGACACATCTAACAATTGCAAATCTGCAATGCTGGGGCTTGTTTTTATTCAGATCAAGCTGAGGGTAAAAGTTGATGAAAAATGGAGCATTTATTTTGTAACTTTTTAGTGCCATGAGGTACATGTATATCAAACTCTTTAGGCCTTTGCTTACGTAATAGACCGTTTTCGTATTCTCAGCACTGGACTGGAACTAGCTTGCAACGGAGGCAAATGCGGGGAGTCTTTTCAAATGTAAAGGACATTAATCTCTTTTTAATGATATTCTCCTGCAGCCTCCATTACGAGCTAGTTCCAGTCCAGTACCGAGAATATGAAAATGGTGTATTGAAAGTCAAAGTTTTCACAGCTTGATGTCTTTGTTTTGAACCATACATCAGAACTACATTGTATAGTCTGTGGCAAGGCTTTATTTTCTATTTTGAGACAAATTTTGAAGTTCTTACAACAAAATCTCTTATTTTATGTTTTTTTATGCTTAGAGTGGTGATAATGATATGGACTGGACTTCAGGAGCTCAGTCACCAGTCAGATGGCAGGTCAGCGACTTGTGCCTTGCCCCCGAACAGCCTAGTCAGCACCTCCATGAGGCAGTCATCAACTCATTTCCGACACCATACACTTGTAAGGTCACTTTCCTCAGATCCAGGCAGAGGTTAGATTGTGAGAAATATTTAAATACATGTATTTAAGATAAGGTTAGAGGTTAGTGGAGAGTGGTTTTCATTTGAGCAGGGGTTTTGATAAAAGCCGGGTAGTGGGTACAACTAGTTACCCACTTGTGATGAGCTAAGTGGCTATCTGAAACCTATTTAATTGGCAAATTTGCGTGGGGACATGCCCCTGCACCCCCCATCCGGGGGAGGGGGGGGGGGGGTCAGGACCTCTAAGTCTTCCAATTTAGAACCTCTTTTACCCACTGGCAAAAAAATTTTATTGAAACCCCTGTTTGGGTGTCAAAAAGTAATATTGGTTTTGTATTACTACACTACGCTATTGGCTTAAAAACTCTTTTTTGTCCAAGTAAAAGTAAGAGCAAAACCAATTGTGACTCACTTGCACCTGTTTTCCTGCACTTAGCATGAGCTAAGCACATTTTGTTCCAGTTTTGATTGGTTCACTGGATTGTCTTTCTGACTTGCTTAAGTCATGAGTGATTAATTTAATTTTGGTTTTATGACACTCTGTTGAAAACCACTATAAGTGGTTTAGGTCTGTACAATTTAGGGCTCTCTCAAAAATTAAAATCAATGTTGCTTGATTTACAATGGGCTACATTAATTGAATTAATTGGTGCATCTTTTCTATTTGGTAAACAACACAGTGTGTTACCTTGTATTCATCCACTTATTTGATCTATAAGAATGTAATAATGGTTGGAAGGACTAGCCTAAAAGCAATGAGTGTTAGAACAATATTATTGAAAATATAGTTACTGAACAATACTGACTGAAATTAACCTTTAACATTTTGAAATGTGTCTTATTATTCAGGCAAGATGTTGATGTGTCAGCACTAAAGCCTTCACGGTCCTCACGTCAACATCGACATCACCCTCACCATCCTCATCATCATCACCCTTACAGCTCAGATCAAAGACACCTTGCGCCAGGATATCAGTTTCCTAGCTATCCATTTCCTTCTAGCTACCAGTCTTCTGTAAGTAATGCAGTTTTCTTTCTTACTCTAAGGAGTGAATTTTCTAGCAGGACATTCTCCAGAAGACCCTTATATGTACTGGTGTTATTATTTTTCAGATGAATTTCTTTCCACCCCCACCTCCTCCACCCGTGCCGCCAACACTTCTGCCACAACACTGGCCAATACCAAACCCATCTGGATTTCAACCCCCAGCTACTACAAACACTGTAAGTAAACCAGTTGGTATAGTTGCATATTAACTGTACATGCACAAGAGACACCAATTCTTGAAAACAATGAATTGGTTAGTCCTAAGACCCTACGGGATTGGAAGAAGAAGATACCTACATGTACTTGTAACATGTACTTGTAACCGCTGAATATCTGCTAAGATTCGGTCAAGTGACTACAGTAAGTAGGTAGGTTGAAGTCAGTGCCACCCATTTTCACCCAAGGGCAATGAGAGGCAATGCACTACTGATCTCAGACATGTGTTGAAATGGTTTTTTTTTTTCCTCAGGCCATTGCATACACCAATGGTTTCATTCAGGGATTCAAAAACAGTGATCGCATGGTAACAAATTTCATGATTGTGTGATGTGATCTTTCCAACCATCAGGGAAGGTCCTTCACAGTTTGTTTACAATTTTGTTGAGTTTCGCACTTTCCAGCAAGATAAAATTGAAAATATGTTGCAGAGAAGAGTTCCACAGATTCAAAATCCATCACATGGATAAGATTTTCCTCGAACTTGTTACTTTTGAAAATATCATGACAGCTGTGCTGCAAACTGTGGCCAAGAGATGTTTATCATGACATGATCACATTTTTGGAATCCGCAGCTGAAACTAATGGTGCGTGCACACAAATTAGCCTGAAAAAAAAAAAAAAAACCCAGCCATTTCAACAGACCTCTGGGAACAATAGTAAAGGGTCGATTACCTCTATGAGATGCACCTGTGGGGTATTTCATGGTAGTTGTATTCATCAAAACATATCTAGTCCAAGATGGCGAATACAACTACGATGTTTCCCTGCAGGCATGTTTCATACAGGGAATGGGCCATTCCCCCTATGAGCCTCTCTATGCATCTATGTATAGTTCTCGTGCGATTCTATCCGTGGGTTCAACGATTGAATAAAAATAAGAGAAAACAGAGGGCTGTGAATAGTCTGTTGTTGTTGTTCGTTGTTCGTAGTCRAAGATGACCAAAGACATCTAGTTTGTTAATAAATTTCTATGGTGTGTCCGGAGGTGGCTGATGAGACCAATCCGCGCAAGGAAGCCTCTCCCACAGGTAGGGCAGAAGTGGGTAGGGGCTGTGCTATTAGTGCTAGCGGCTCTTTCCTTGCGTACTGCTCGCTTCTCGTCGGCTTGACGGACCTGCATTCCTCTGCTGCGTGGGCTCCTTTTGTGATTCAGACAGTTGGCATTTTCTTGGTTATAGTCACTGTGTTAAGAATTTGTGATATATTGTGTGTCTTTTTGACATTTTTGTAATTTGCAGCCTTGTAATGGCTTCTCATGGTTTCTTTGACAATTGGTAGATAAGCAGAGATGACAGATATTTTTCTGTTTATACGCATTTTACCTTATATGTCGGTCAGTATTCCATCTTATTACACATATTTTTTAAATCTGTGCTTCTATGTTAAGATCTTCATTTTTTCAGTGGTGATTGTCGCATCTTCGATTTCTTCGAAAATACCCAATGAGGGGCTCCCCTATGAGACTTGCATGCAGGGAATCATGATATGCATGTATGCATTATGCCCATGACATCTTCAAGACTTAGTGCACGTCATTGCATACAACTATCATGTGTCACTGCATGTGCATCTCATAGAAGGAATAGGGTGTTTGCCACTGTCATAGCTAAATGTCTTTTTGCAAATTACAATGCAACACAATGAATGATCAACCACTGTAAGTGATGAAGGAGTTAACCCTGTAACATCTGACTATTCAGTAGTGTTTTTATCGTTCAGTATT